GTCGCCGCGGCCGGGCGGGGAGGGGGGCAGTGCGGGAGCGGCGGTGTTGGCGCACAGGAGCCGGCTTCTGAGGTTGTGGGACATCGGTGCCGGGCTGAGGGAAGCGTGTGTGGGGCGGGGAGGGGGGATGCCTTACCCTGGGCGGTAGGGAGCGGCTGACACACCTACCGGGAGTTGGGGCTGGCGGCTCCCGGCAGACGCGCCTTGGCCTCAGGCACCCTGCTCCCAGCGGCGGCCTTGCCGCCGCCATCCCGGTGTGGGAGCAGCGCCTGCTTCCCCCGGCTCTGAGGTGTGGCCTGCCTCGGTGTGGAAAACGCTGGCCTACATGCTTTGCCACCTCCGTACCCAGAACGAGGTGGTCACACAGGCAAAACCAAGCAATTCTCCCCATCTTTAAGTTCTACATATGCCTTCTTTTTCCATTTGGAAATTTATTGTACAGGTGGAGCTTAAGGCCATGAGTTACTTGGTTGAGACTCCTGGATGTTTGGCAGGTTAGTTAAAGTGGTAATTTAGTGTTGCAAGTGCCAGCCAAGTGAATCACATATGCCAGCTCAGGTTCAACGCTTACAACCAGTTCTTTACAGAAATACGACAGGCCTATGCTTATCCCATTGAAGAGACAAGACTGTCACTTAGTTTGCGCTTTCTCAGTACATACTTGCGCTGTCCTTCCCAAGAATGCAGGTGGAGATGCTTTCACATGCAACTTCACTGTCCGAAAGGATAGTTAGAGAAAATCTGTTAAAGATTAGCAAGAAAGGATATTCCTGTGTGGGTCAGTCACAGAGCAGCATCCTCCATCATTAGAGAATATAGTTGTGCAGCAAGTGCTCACGTGCTCTCTGTTTTCATTCCATATCAGAATATGTGCTTTGCTTAAACACCATCCCAGAAGACAGATGAGGACATAGAAGCTAATAAAGCAACTTTTTTTATTCCAACCCTGGTTTTGAGTGAAGGTAGAGTAACATTTTTGTATAGATGAGGGATAGAGTCCCCTATTCATATGATGTCATTCTCTCTAATTTACACAAAAGAGGGACTCAGAAGCTGGAGGTATGCATAAAATGTGTACATCTTGAGAGGAGGAGAGACCATAGTACCCACAACATTGTTCCACCAATTCTGAGGAAGAGGGGTAGTTGCATGTCCATGTTTCTCCCCCTTCTGACATCAGTGCTGTCTTCCAAGTAGTAAAGTCAAATGTAAACAGTAAAATCTTCTTGGTTTAGACATTTGGAGACTGAGGATGGCAGAATTCTCTTCCTTTGGATAGTAGATGAGAAAGTACTCAGAGTAACACCTTTTCTTGTCAGTTTTGCAAGTGAACATGAGATGATAAACGTTACTTACAAATCTTCCCTTAATACTACCTACAGATCCTTTTCAGATAAAGAAAAAAAACTTAATTTCTTGTCCAGAATGAAGAGCATGTGACATTTTATTAATATTTACTCCTAGAAAGTTGAAATGTTTACAGTAAGGAGTAGAATAAAACCTCTAGTAGGAAAAATACTTTCTTTCTTGTTTGGTACTGTTTTTGTTTGGCGGGAGGGGTTTGCTGAATAAACTACTTGGCACTTGATTTATAATAAAATGACTATTTCTTTTTATTGCTTTCTATCTAGACCTCTGGAATACAAAGGAAAATCCAAGTAATTCTAACTAATAGTTAGATGGATAATGGCATGACTGCATGTCATGGTGGTCAATGCCATCTTGCTTTGTTTTTAATTGCTCTCATCTCTGAATCTTTCTGGAACTTATTGGCTCATTCTTAGATTGCAATCTGTTTGGGGCAGGGATTGCTTTTTTTGTGTTTATTTTTAGAAAACATGCAACCAAGTGGTCTTGGTCCCTAACAAAGGTCTCTAGTTGTTCCAAAACCAGAAACATAATAACAGATTGCAGATTTAATTTTAAGTCTTATTTGACTAGTACCAAATTATAAATGCCATCCAGCATCTGTTTGATTGGGGTTAAATGAATTAGTTGAGTTCAGTTCGTGCCACAGAAAATAATCCTTGTGATTGAAGTATTTGTATTTTTGTTGGTCATATTAGTAGTGATGCCAGGCATCAGTTTGTGCATTGGAAATTGGCACATGTTTATGCTGTAAAAGATTTGTAACACTTGGCAGATTAACATAGGTCAATAAAGAACAGAGGTTGTTGATGTAATTAATTTTTCAAATATACACATTTAAAACCATTATTTGTAAATTATTTAAGATATATCATAAAATGTGACTGCTAGACTGGTACAGCAGTAATGTATTTCTTTGCTAAAGATGTGCAATAATGCGGCAATTTTGTTTAAACAAGAATTCCAGTAGGTGATGTCTGCTTTTCTTCTGGTTGAGTACGTTTTAGTTGTGACTGTGGAGGGTCTGAGGATGCATAGCATAGGCCTGAATAACTTCTGCTTTTTTATAATAATGTATTAATTTTTTTCTAAGATGCTTCATGCTGAAAGTAGAGTAAGGCTCTTGGAGTGTCAGGATGAAATCACAATTGAACCATGTTCTAAAAAAATGAAGTCAACAGAAGGGGCTTACGAGAAGCTCTCTGATGATGACAACCAAGGTATTCAAGAGGAAGTGGACACTGAGAGAACATCAAATGATTTGATGCCAGCGTTTGCGTCAGATAACCGAGGGCAACATGAAATGCAGAAGCAAGAGAAAATACCTACTGGTATCTTGGGAACACTGAATGAAGAGCTCCCTGAATATAATCTAGTGCTTAGTCAGCCACTTGATTCAGAAACTGTGCAGAATGTAAATCTTCCATTTGCATCAATAAATGACACTAAAGTTGAAGAAAAGAAAGGCCCTTTTATTACAAACAGTGCTGGTGAAGATAATATTAGAAATAGCAGTACATCATTCTCAGTAAATAGAAATGCATCAGATGAAGAGTTTTTTACAAGCAAAGAATTTATCGGACCGATTTACAAGCCTGCCGAAAGTAACAAACAGGACAAATCTGGCAGTTGCAATGAATGTAAAAGCAGCGAGGGAGATCAGAATGAATTGGATGAAAACGGAGCTAAAAGAAAGGAGGCAAAGAAGATGCAGACTATTTCTTCTGCTGTACCAGAAATAGATGATGAACTAGACCAGTTCTATAAAGAAATTCACCAGCTGGAAAATGAAAATTTAGATACTAATTTTCAGGAAAAAGAAACTGAAACTTCTCAGGAACAATACTCTCCATATAACTGTAGTCAAACGTCGCAAGAGGATTATCAACACATATTGTTGGGCAGCCCACAACCATTTTATGAGAATGGACAGTGTTTCTTTGGGGAACAGAACAGTCAGAAAACAAGCAATGAGCAGCAGTTTGTTGTGGAAACAAGTGGCTGGAAAGCTGAAAATACCTTTAATGGACAAGTAGATTCTAAATATTGGAACTACTCAGTGCCTGAATTCAGACCTGCTTGGCAGTTAACAGAGTCTTTCATAGTACCTCAGGGACCTCTTCCTCCTAGATGCAACTATCAATCGCATTTTCAGATACTTAATTCCCCACCACAAAAAACAAATGTTCTCCCTTCTCAGAATGGTGAACTTTCTTACAAAAATTATCATGGTTACTATGGAAATACTGATATCAACAGTCATGGTCCATTGCTTGATCAAAGTACCAACTATGCTGGTCATATTGATATCCATACTACTCAGGTCTTCAGAAATGGAAATAATGACCAGAATGGACTCCGAAATAATGACCAGAATGGACTCCGAAATAATGACCAGAATGGACTCCGAAATAATGACCAGAATGGACTCCGAAATAATGGTTTCTTTGAAACCAGAGAAGAGTGTTGCCAGAATGGACCGAAATAATGGTTTCTGTGAAACCAGAGAAGAGTGTTGGAAGGATCCAAAAGCTGACAATACAGAAGGAATGCACAGCTTTTCTTCCTTGCAGTTACCTGGAGAAAGGTTCGGTTGTTCACAGAAATTGCTCCTAATCTTAAGAGGCCTACCTGGTTCAGGGAAATCAACACTTTCTCGGTAAGTAAAGAGTTAAAGCTTGGGAAGCTTATTCAAATAAAAATTTTTAAGAATTTAAAAAAAAAAGATATCTGTAAGCACTTGGCAAACTTTGGTATTTGTAAATTAGGCTATTAAAATGCAGTAATTTTTACTTAATGTAGACATATGACAGTAAATATAAAAAAAAAAAGAGGGTTTTTTGTCTCCTTTAGAGTTTTGATGAACAGGAGCTGTTTTATGTTAAATTTAAAATGTACTGTATCCATTAAATTGTATAATCTCTTATTCTGAAACTTTCAGGTGTACTAGTATGGGATGGTCTGCCTCTTTTTTTTTTTTATTCTTAAATTCCTTAATTTAAAAAAAAATCTTCTGTCTAATCTAGCAGCATTAATTTGACTGAACCAGAAGTACTTTTTTATGCCTATGCAAAAATCTTCAAAGAACATTAGAAGAATTTTGCTACTCTGAAAATACTTAATTTGTTTTCAGTGTGTTTATGAAACTGAGCATAATCTCATTCCCTTTTTTTCATACTATGGTCTGTCAACTTCTCTGTTTATTTGTGAACAACACGCAAGAAAAGTTTTATTTTCCGTTAAAAATATATTTGTTGAAGTCTGACAGGTTAAAAGTGAGTACCACCTCCAACTTGGATTTTCACCTTTTTTTTTTTTTGGCCTAGTTTAAAAAGCACGTAAGTCGACATAGAGCACAGACATTATCTGTGTTAAGTTAAAATAGGCTTCTCTTGCATACAAAAAAAAAGTTGTTACTATATCAGTACTTACTGATTGAGCTTCATCCACAAACTGTACATCACAAATTGGATGTCTTCTGTGGTTATCTTCTGTTGTATGCTAAGAGTCTATTAAATAGGTACAGTGATCATGTTCTTTGTTTTATGTATAAAGGCATAACCTTGCTGCTTGTTTTTTTTTCCCTGATGTTTAGGAGACTGTGATCTCCATATCATAGAAAAATACCTATTGGAAATCTCTAGCTTACATATTTGTATAATTTTAACTATAACATTGTCTAGTTACTGAGTGCTCTGTTTTGCAAACCTGCATTTCTGAAGCTGCATGAGCCTGTGTGGGTATTATTACAATAATTTCTTTAATAGATGAAAGCAACACAGAAGATTAGAAATAAAAAACCCTATGGAAAAAATGCTGCCTCATTCAGTGCAGGAATTGGGTAATACTTAATGTGAAGATACCTAATAGAATAGAATATTTTGTTTTCTGTGTTTTGTGTGCTGAATTGTCTTTGAATCTTTCTCCAAATATGTTGTTATTTGAAAGATTCTAAATATCTTCAGGTTTTTGTGAACACATATTCTTGCTTTTTTCATCTCTTGCTAGTGAGATCAATTACTGATTTCATTTAATAGATGGGAAAGTGGGCACTATGAGATCAAGGTCAAGAATAGTCACCAAATTTGGGTGCAGAATTTGAACTGCTTGGGACTTGTTTTTCAGTGTATTCAATTATATGCAGTTTCATATGTTCAAAGCTTGGTTGCAATTGTTAATTCCCATTAAATCATGTCTGAAGGTCTCAGGTACCTGGTGGCGAGGGGGAACCCGGAATTAATGTCTGCCTATGAGGAAAATATATGTATTATTAATTAAGTCATTACTAATATAAGTTGACTATGTTTGTGTGTGTAACATCATAGACTTCTGCAGTGTAGACTAGGACAGCAAATACAGTCTTCTGATGTCGTATTAGTACCCACAGGTATCTTTGCAGGCTTGGCACCTTTAGCACCTGCAGACAATCTTCTGCGACTTGTGCTAGCAAAACGACTGTGAAGGAAAAGCAGAAAACTGACATCATCTGTGCGGATCAGCACTAGAAGGGAATGAGGTGCATCTTGCAAGCATGAAATGACAGCAGAGCAGTAGTGAGACCCAGGAGTCTTGAATTCCTATCTGCGTTTTATGCGAAGTGAGGGTTTGTAAGTACAGGCACTTTTCCTCCTGCTCCCAAACTTGACCCATGTCTGTCCTGAATCTTCCACTGAAGTCTGTGTCTTGTTTTGACTCTTCCATGTCAACTGCTTGGAATCACAGGCATGTTTTTTGGAAGAGGCTTCTGGAGGTCAACTAGTCCGTCGTTCTGCTTGGAGCAGGTCTGTCACCATTGTTGGATCAGATTAGCTGTGTCTTTGTCTTGAAAAAGCTACAAGTACAGAGATTCCGCAGTCTCTCCAAACTATTCTGGTGCAGTACTACCCTTGTAGTAAAGAAGGTCTTCCTAATCTCCAAACTGAAGTTCCCAAGCCATAATTTGTCTGTGTTCTCCTGTGTTATACCATGTGCTGTTACCTGGTAGAATCTGGCTCATCATCTTTGCAGTTTCCCTTCAGGTAAGGGGATAGGCTTAGTCACTGTAATAGGCTAATATCAGGTGGCCTTTTACTTTCATTGCCAGGCTAAACAAGCCCAGCTGCTATTAACCTCTCCTCATAGGTCGTATGCCCTTAGCCATCTTGGTAGCCATCTGTTCAACCCTTTCATGGTTTTCAGCATGTCCTTTGAACTGGGAAGCCCTAAACTGGACACAGTGTTTCAGAACTGACCGCACAAGAGCCAGGTAGAGTGTGGATGATACCTTCCATTGATCTACTGGCTGCATTTTCTCTAATAAAGCCCAGCATGTGGTTTGCACTTCTTTTGATGAGAGCACACCATTTGCTGATCTCTAGTTTGATGTCCACTGTAATCCTCAGATCCTTTTCAGCAGAGCTGCTGAACCAGTCGCTTTCCATCCTGTACTGATACTTAGGTTTCTTTTTCACCAGTTGCAGAATTTTGCGCTTTTCCTTGTTGAGCTTCATGATGTTTTGCTTAGTCAGGTGCTCAAGTTTCTCAGTGTCCTTCTGGATAGAAGCCCTACTGTTCAGTATGTCGGGCATCACTACTAGTTTGGTGTCACCTGCAAGTTCTCTGCCTCATCATCCAGGTTAACAATGAAGATACTGAAAAAATTGGTCCTGCTATCATCCCTTGCTGTACTCTGCTTGTTACTGACTGAGACATGATGTCAGAAGCCTTGATAATTTCAAAGTATGCTACATTCATCACTGTCATCATCCACAAAGGCAGTTGTTTCATCAGAGAGTGCATTCTGGTCAGTAAAGAATGATTTGTGTGTTGCAAAATCCACATTGACTCTTCCTGATTACCTTCATTTCCTTCACATGTTTGGAAATAGATTCTGAGAGGATGCACTCCATTGTCTTTCCAGGAACTGGATGCAGGTTAGGGGACCATTTTAGTTTTGAAGAAAAATTAAGGCAGGATTTGTGTGTGTGCGCGCTTGCACTGGAAAAAAATGTTTGCTGACTAGTTAAAATGAGCATTTTGGTTTCAAGATGAGTTTCGTATGTCGAGCTAATATCTTCTATTAGATCAGATAGCATGTCTGGAAAAAGTAGGTGAGCTGCTTTAATTTCACTGCCCTACTATGTTCAAAGCTGGGTGTTCAATTGCAGGGAAGGTTTAGGGTGAAAAAGCTGGATTACAGCAGTTGGATAGTACCACTACTCATTTCAGGTATGTGCACATGTTGATGCTGACTGATCTGTAATTTGACTCTCTTACTAGAAATGTATTTATCTTACTTCTTTTCTTTCTCCATCTCTCAAAAGTGGAATATCATCTCTTTGTGGGTTTAGATAGTAATGATGCTTTCTTTGCACAGATGTACTTTTTGTTCTTGCTGTTTCCTAGTTCATGAGCCTGGGATAAATTTTATTTTCAAATACATGTTAGAAATATGTGAATTATTCCATATGACATCAACAAGTATGTGTTTTAAATTTTACAAGTTTAAATACTATGAATTCTGAAAGAGGTAGTGGTCAGGCTTTTAAAATGTTATGTTTTATGATTTAATTTCACAATTTAGAAACAGGCCACAATCATTGCTGTAATAATTGAAGTTTCAGTTCATAAACGGATTACTTTGTGATAGCTTGTGTGTTGTGTATAGGGTAAGGGTTCTGTTACTCTGGCCTCTCTGGTAGTCACTTTGCCTTCCCAAATTCTGTAGTTTTAGGACTATTCTTGCAAACATAGTTTACTGTATTAAATCTGTTACATCAGTTATATAGGTTCATAAATAAATTGTGGTGTATTCTGAACTTCAAGGAATAATAACAAAATATTTCAATAATAAACTTTGTTGATGCGTTTTCAAGATGCCCGAACAACAGAGGAATTTGAGTAAGTGAATTATTCTCCAGAACACTGAGCAGAGTCAGTTCCTAGAAATAAAAATAAAAATGAATACCCCTTTAGTCCCGTTAGTGTTGATTCATCAGCTCATATATATTCCTACAGAAACCTGATAGTCAGGCTACTAGGAGCTGTAGGGATGTATCTGTCTACTCAGCTAGTAGAAGAATCCCAGTTATTATTTGCTATCTCTTTTATTAAGGCAGATGGTCCTTACTCTGAGATGTGTGTATATACATTCAGCACACAAAAAGTGAGTGTGGAAGATGGATCCAGTTTTTCTAGCATTATTAATTGGCAAATGTAGCATACTGTAAATAAGAAAATTGGGCCATGTTGAAATCATGGCCAAGTAACTTAATGAATATAAATTCCTGTTAAATATTTTATATAAAAGAGGAATAGATATGAAAAAATGCTATTGTGCATGGTGTATGATTTACTGGTGCCATTTTATCTACTTAGAACAAATACAGGCTTTGAATCCTTCTGTGCTCTCCTAAACCAATGTAATACACATCCTACTAAAAGACATAGGCTCTAACAAAAATAATTATTGAACAATGTCCAAAAAAAGTGGCTGTACTCCTGGTGTCTCATGCTCTGCTTTCTGAAATAGCATTGCTATTTATCCTGAGGTAACCTTAATACTCTGGAAAAGGGAGAAAGCGCAAGAAGGAAAAAACAGCTTGTATGCAGCTTTGATCATGTTACTTGACAGTTGCATCATTAGTAGTTTCTTCTGGTCCTCAGTAATCTGAAATTTGTTGTTACAGATATCTGTATTTTAAAAGTAAAAATAACCAACAACATAGTTGTGGGACAATAAATGTGTAGGAATGTAAGTTAATACGTAATACAGTGTCCCAGTCTTTAAACTATGATCCATAACAGGTCTGTTGTTGGTGACAGGTGGCAAAACATAGCAAATGCCTTGTGTAGGAATTAAACTTAAGTACCTCTTCCTGCAGATATATATAGGAAAGCTTGGTAACTTAGAACTAACATACATTTGTTCCTCTACATTATTTGGGATTTGGCTGGTTCTTTTCTGTTCCTGCCACCTCAGCAGTAGTGCATCCCACATACTGCTAGTGCAGTTTGGGTTTTGTAGCCTTTGGGTACATTGCCTATTTCTGAGATGGAATAGTTGTCTAAATTTCCATAGGACAGTGATATCTGAGTGTTGCAATGGGCTATAAATGCTCCATGGCCCTAACTGGCTGTTTTCTATTTTCAAATTTAAATATGCTATAGAAAACAAAAATAGTCAAGGAGGTTTTGTAATCGCACTTACTCTGTAGATCAGACTTTAAACAGAATTGTAGTATTGTCTCAGTTTTACAAGGTTTTCCTTTAAACCCCAATTTCCAAGGACTTTCTGAAAATAAAGTTTACATTTGGCAGAATGGGGATTGCTTATTAGGATGGATTAATGTGGATTTGATTTGACAGAGATTCTGATGTTATTGATCAACCAGCAGTTAATTATGCCCTGTAACTTTGCTATAATCAGTTTCTCTGACTCACAGGTATTTGTTGGCGTGCCTGGGCAACATATACGATGAATTTTAGTTAAATCCAAAAGTCAGCTCTATGATGCTTCTAGAAGGTTTGACTATGGCATTTCATGACAATGCAATTACAGAATTCTAGAAAAGCTTAATGGATTTTTGTAGCATTCCTACATCACCCATTACAATAACTTCTGTAATTAATAAACATATTATCAGTAATATAAAATATTACAACACAGAGTAAAAATAAACATGATAACAGTGAACATCACAACTGTGTCCCTCTGCATTCCCCTTTTTACCCTCATTGGCTTCCCCACAGCGTCTTCTATTGTTTGCTAAAGCATACTTAAATTTCTCCCGTGATCTTTAATGATAGCTGTGCAAGAAGCAGAATGTCATGCAACTTATTCTAACCTACAAATGAAGTAAACTTCTAGCCAGTAAAATATTTACGTTGCTTGGAAATGGCAGGCCTAAAATACTGGGTAAATGTGAAATTTGCATTGTAATCTTTTTCTCTTTTTTTATCTTTATGGATTCTAATTTTAATCTCTGCATTTTATCCATTTGTTTACAAATTTGTTTTGCTTTGGTTTGTTTGTTTTCCCCTCATAAAAAGTCATAGTATTTTTGAGAGAATATTCTGTCAGATTGTGTTGAAATTGGTTTATATGTCCAGAAGTCACCGTGGAATGGCATTGCCTTAAGAAACCAAGCTAAAACACTCTAATCAAGTGGTTTAAGTGATTGGAGAAGTGATTGTTTTTCTCCTGATTTGAAGTAATGCATGCAGGGATAGTAAAAGGCATGGTTTTCCTATCACCCTGTTAGCACTAAAGTATGAATGATAGGGAAAAACAACATCATTCCCTGATAGAAACTGAGATAGGAAAAAATTCTATCTTAAATTTCTTGTCATCTATTAGACTGAAACTACAGTTCTACAAGATGTGGTAACCCATCTAGCAGGTTACTGCTGCTCAACCAGGGGAGGTCTCCATTGCTACTTAGCCACTTTTAATGTATCACCTTTTGGGGCCTTTTCTTAAATAGGCTCAACTGCTAAAGCTTCAGAAAAGTAACCCAGGGAAAAAAAAAAGAGAGAAAAGGATTGCTTTCTTCTGAGTATGAATTCCAGTGGCTTACAGATCCAGTGAGTGACAGAGTTGATGAGAAAATAGAGGCAAGTAAGACTGTGTCGCCAGGATTGGGGGAGAAGACATAGAACTGCAATAGAAGAATATAGGATCTTGAAGGAATGTGGACACTCTTCTGTAATCCTGACTTTCATTAGTAGGGCAATCTTGAAAGTTTATTGTGCTCTCTTACTTTTTCCTGAAAATAGGGAAATTGCTGTAAACATTAGTAGTTTTCTTTTGCTGTTCCTGTTTGACCCATGTTATATGTGCAAGCAGCATGGGCAAAGGCCAGAAGAGGGCATGTTGGGAGTTTAAGGTGCTGAAAAAGGATTTAAACATCCAGTTCATTTCTCAGCTGCATCCAGATTGCTCATGATCAGATTGGTTTCTAGAGATAATTCCAAATGAGAATTGATATGGAAAATGTTAGTAAATACATTAAATTACTACGAGGTACTTGGAACTTACTGCAATATAACCATAACTTAGATGGGTACAAACATCTCTTGGGGATGGAGGAGAAGAAACCACAAATACAGAAATAGTAGAAAGGAGGGAAATATATTGCTTTAATTTGGATTAGAATTACTGGTAATACATATGAGTGTACCTGTTTGAAGTTTGCAGCAAGCTCAGAAATAGGGCACAGTTAAATTTATTTTAGTTATATTTTTTTCTGTGTCTTTTTTTTTTTCTATCTGAAAAATAAAAGTTAAAATATTTTTGCGTTTTCCTCTGTTTAACAGTATTCTGCTTGGTCAAAGTCGTGACGGCATTGTATTCAGCACTGATGATTATTTTCGTCAACAAGATGGATATACGTATAATGCTGCTCAGCTTGGTGATGCCCATGACTGGAATCAGAAGAGAGGTTTGAATGCATAAGAGGAATCCTATTAAATTATGCTTATATTTAGAAAATAGAAGTATAACATAATGTGCATGTGTGTTAACAGGATATATGAAAAGGAGTATGTATATATTTTAGTACAGGGTGTAGAGAAGTAAATCTTTCAAGTATTCTTTATATTTTAATTAATGTATATGTACACGTTAAATTTTGAACTCATAGAAGGTTCAGAGTTAAAAATAGAGATTCTCCTCTTTGTGCTATGACCTGCTGATTTGTTACATTTGATACTATCTTGGTGGTAGAATTTAACCTTTTTAATGCTGGCAACAGCAGAGTATCCTATTTTTTTCCAGTATCTTTCCTGATCTGAGGTTCATCCAAAATTTATGGAAGAGTTTTTCTGAGGAAGATTTTAGTTCACTTGTGTAGATTAACAGCTTTGATAAGTCATCTTTCGTAATACCTAGCAGTGTCCAAAGGTTGGGTATAATTGGTAGATACCTGGGGTAAGAAGGGTAGCAGACAGATTCTTGCTCTTTCTGTAGCAGTTTCCTAAGGATCTCGTTATCTGTTTGGTCTGCTCCAAGGAGTGGACAAACTGAACAACTCCATTGCCTGTGTATGCAGATTACTCTCTGTGCTGCAGTGTCTCAAGCAGAAGCTTCCTTTCCGTCTAGAGGACTACTTCTTTGCATCAAAAGACACAGAGGACCAAGGAAAAAAAATACTCTCCCCTTTCCTCCACTCCTCCCCCTAATCCAAATTTATGATACACTGTATGAACAGTGAAGGAATTTTTTAGAGCAACCATTAGAATATCAATTATAAAGAGCACTTTTGAGGTTGGAGTGCAGCAATAAAATACTTTGAATGAACTTCCCAGTAGGAGCCTAAGGAGCAGAAGAGTTGATAAGGTAGTAGTTTATGGATGAGAGGGCTCAGCACTTCACAATTCTAAGACCACCAAACAATTCTCACTTGATAATGGCTTCTGGCTGTTTCTGACTAGACGTTAAGATCTCTCTAGTTCTGTATCACTTAGTTACACAGTGTTTTTGATAACCAGAACAGTATGTAATTTAGTTATTTGGTGATTTTTGATAGCAAGAACAAGAACAGCTGTGCCGTGTTGTATAAAACACCCCCACTGCGAAACATTTGCCAGAATAGCTTTGGGTTGAAGTTATACTGAATTCTTCCCTCCTGCTTTGACTAGATAAAGCTCTCTGCCTTGAAGTGTTTCAGAAGCTCTTGGTTTCATTTGTGTGTGGATCCTTGAAATCCATGAAACGAGAACTTCAGGGGAATGATAATCCTGATAGTTGGGATTCTTGTCTGATGAGTAGGTCTAGGTTAAAGTTTCATATAGATTATATCAGCTGCATAAGTTATTTATATATTTGCTAATATTCGTATGACAACATATTTAGCTAGAGCTTTATAATTCTCATGTCAGAATTATGGAGAAGGCAAAAATTTACTTTCTTCACAAATCAGAAAATTATTCTGTTAAAAATATCCTCCCTCCCCCCATTTTTGGGGAGGGAGTGAATCTATAATATAGTAAGTATGAGAAAAAAATAGTGACAAGTGAGACCCATTAGGGAAAAAATAAATTTGTTTTAGATGAACAGAATTTCAAGCTCTCAAATGTTTATAAAACAGTGAATTACATACCCTTGATACTAAAACACATACACATTTAATGTGAAGGTTGTAAGGTCAACTGCACAAATATTAGGAAACACTAGAATTAATTTGCCACTGCTACTTTAATTGTGAAATCAGTGTCACTCTTACAGGGTTTTAGGCCCTTTAAATTCACTTTTGTGGCTTTGCTAAGTGTCTCCTATTTTAGTTCATCCTGCCACTTCTGCTGGAACTTTTGGCTGTTTTTAACATTGTTGACATGACAGATCGAGTTGGGGTTTATTTGCTTTTTAAACTCTGTTTTTGTTTGGTTTGGTTTTGACAGTGACTAATAAAATTAATTAATTAGTAACTTTTTTACTTTTAAACAAAACTTCATCTAAGGTATTACATCAGCACACTTAAGACTTAGATGCATAGTTAAAACAAAATGGTAGAATACCTAAGTGGGTTGTAGCCATAATACAATCTTTCTTCACAAGCTTTTGTAAATTAATGATGGTCCCGTTATCTTCATTACAAAATTGGCTATTCTCTTGCTACCTTTATGAGTCTTTTCTGAAATGCAGAAATGAGGGAAAAATCCCGAAATATGTCAGCCTACTGCTTTTACTTTCTAGATTCGGGTTTCAGAAAGATCATTTGTGCCAGGTTAATGAAGCCAGGGCAATATATTTTTAATTTTTTTATAGCTTTTTCCATTGATTCTTAGTGCTCTGTTGGAACATATTTTATCTTTGCTTTTTTCCTCCCTTCCACCTACAAAGTTACTTCCCAGCCTGTTCATTTAATCTCTTCCCATTGAGTGGATTGATTTCCGTCAAGATAAATCCCTAGTTCTCTCCAATAACTTAGGGTTTTTCTTCCTTCAGATCCCTGCTTCATTCAGTGTACAGATTGAGCAGTGTTCACTAAATGGGCAGGTATTCAACAGATGTATTTTTTTAATCCTCACACTCATTGTGGATCTCGCTTTTCATTTAATGCATACTATTTTAACTTTGTTTAATGGAACATTATTAATTCTTCTAGAAACTTTTTTGTATGAGTGTTATTTTAGTATTTCGAGCTTCAGATATTTCAGTTCTTTCATCCAGTTCATCATCTTAACTTTCCTGTGAGCACTAGTGGTGTTATATTCTGAATTTTTCATTGGCAAGCTAAGGCACAGTTGCTAAAAACATCTTCCTATTTTGGATGCCAAACATAGCAATTTAGATATTTTCTTCAGGGTATGTAGTAGTAATTAAACTTCATATATTCAGAATAAATTTTCACTGTCTTCATATTCAGATGAGTTCATATCACTTCTGTAAATGATACCTGTAACTTTGGAAATTGGGCAGCTAGGAAATGAAGATCATGCAAAGTAGCGGCCACCTGGACAGAGGTGAGATGATATTCAAGAACATTCACCAAAAGATGATCCTTCTGCCTTTGCAGTCATCCTGACTTACTCATTATTTATCTCACAATTACCTCAAAAAAAAAAAAAAAAAAAAAAAGAGGAATGCTTGGGTCATGCTGATGATCTGATATATACCCCCAATTCAACTACAGAGTAAGTCCATCACGTGCTGAAAGAGATAGGGGTATGTGGGAGGAAATAGTGCGCAAACGCATATTTAAGGACAGTATGGTAATACATATGCCCTATAATTACTACACACCCAGCCTTAATTCAGGTGTTTCCTAAAGTTCAGAGTTCTGCTTTGCAACCATAATGCTTTTTTTTTTTGCTTTTGCACCCTTTCTGTGTCTTTTAAAAGAAGGACTGAATCCTTGCTCTTTTCCTGCAAGAATTTTGAAATGTGAAATTCTTGATGTGTTTGTGGCTCACATTGCTTAAAACTAACTAAAAAAATATTTTTTTCTTGGCTTCAATGTGCAGCATCAGAGCAGTTGATTTTTAATTTTTTTTTAAATGGAATTCATCTTCACAATGCTTCTGTAAAATAGATAAGGAATTATTGTTATGTTTTTACTGATTAACTGAGGCACAAAGAAGCTGAGGAATAGATTTTATAAAAGCCTTACATTCAATTGTAAGATGCTTTAGAGTAGTTGTAGGAGGAGTTGAGGAACCTTCTTCATGAATCTGATAATCATAAGTTGGAAATCTGCTTCTCCATCTGGCTTAGTTTCAGGCTGCAAAAAGAACCTCATTTACTGATTCATGCACAAAGTAGTTCTTTTCTAAAGATGTATAAGTTGTGTCCCTTTCTGAAAAGAATGGCAAAGGCCTTGCTTTGGTGAAGGTGAAGGTGAAGGAAGTTAAAACAGTGAAAATTCAGGTAGCCCATTTGTCCCAAAAGTGGGATACTCAAGTACCCTCTCTAGGTACTCTCCTCTTCAGGAGTTCCTTCTGAACTTCTGGTAAGAATAGCTTAACTGCTGTCCCGGTTTGTATAAAATGGAGGTGGATATCAAGCTGATAAGGGTATAGAACTTGAGTGTTTCACTTCCTTGGGTAAGTCTCCTGTGTAGCATTATGTAGAAGCTGAATTTCATAATCATGCTGTCTAGATTTGCTCAAAAAAAGTGGTTGTGCAATGTTGTTTTTTTCAGGGACAGATCCTAGTAATGTGAGTTAGGAGTCCTCTGAGAATGCTTTCTGGACTGTGTGAGGGATTTAGAAGAATGCCTGATCTCAAGATCAAAGTTAGGTTTAGGCATAAGATAGATGCTTAACTGATTTATCAAAACAAAAGCAGTCTTGGGCTTATGAAGAGATACCATTTTAGGCATCAGGGTAACATTAAAATGTTTTCTGTGCTGTGGAGCTGATGAATCTCAGGTAGCCATCAGATTTGGGTGTTTTGTTCCCTAAACTCCTCCAACCAATCGCGGTTCTGCACTATAATTTCTAGGATGCTTCTGCTGGGTAAGAAGCAGTATAGTCTTGCTGGTCCAAAGTTAAAAGCACGCTACTGCGTAAGTGTCCTGCCAAACAAATTGCATCATGGCTGTGCTCTGTCTGTCTTTCCATCAATAAAGATGCTAATTTGGATGTCCCTTCTTATCAGTTGCTGTTTTGTAGAACTCGGAAGCAGCTTATTATTCCTGAAGCTTCTGCCCTCTTTTGGATTTGGTAGAAATTGGCCAATGAGTTCAAACATTATTCGAGCGGATATAGCATGGTTGTAATTTTTTTTAATGGATCTCAGAAATATTTCAGATATGTGATGTCTTTCTGTGAAGATCACCTATTTCTCAGCATTTTGTTGGAGAAAAACTGCAATACCTAACCACAGGTCTCAGTTATGAATGCACCATGTGTTACCTGGCAGGGCTGGTAAAGCTGGAACCAGGATATGGTTTCATGCCGGGATCTTTATACTCGGCAGGCCACAGACTTTGAGCAGTTCTGTTGTGTTGCTTTGACTTCTACACTTCCCATTTACCCCTTTGCATCAATTCACCACCACCTCTTTTTGTGTGCCCTTCACTTAATTTTTCTTACCTTCTTGCTTCTACTTCTTTCCATTCCTGTCTCTACCTTTCAGTGCTTTTATTCCTTTTCTTAGAATAGTGTGTTTCAGTCAGACTAGATTAGTGCAAAAGACATCTGGAACAGCTTGTTTGCATTTACCATTTTATTTGAGTTACATAGTTGTTTATTAACTTGCACTATTTTTCATTGCAGCAAAGCAAGCAATGGAGCAGGGAAAATCTCCGGTTATAATAGACAACACTAATACTCAAGCGTGGGAAATGAAGCCATATGTGGAAGTGGTAGGTTTTGTTGTGTGATTATATCATCTGTTATAACTTTTCAGACTTACCTTCACATGTGATAAGTTCGTCTGTTTTGTCCAGAAACATTTTCCTTACTCAAGTTTCTAACAAGAGACTGCTTATTGATACGATCAGTAATTGGTATGGCAATAGTTCAGACCAATTTAAGGATTGACTTGATCTAATCTGCTTAGCCTGGAATGAAAGCTAAGGCGGGTTGGGGGTAAGTGAAATTCAGCATGCTACCGCTGCAGAGTTATCTACATCTGTTTATTATACTGGTCTATAAACTTTTTGTTGCATTTTATGTAATAATGATACACATATCACACATTTTTCTTTCCTTGCTGCAGGCTCTAGAAAAGGGATACAGAGTGGAGTTCCATGAGCCAGATACTTGGTGGAAGTTTGATCCTGAAGAATTAGAAAAGTAAGGTTTATATTACAGAAATCATTGTACTTATATATAGAGATAGATAAATATGCACATGTATATATATATGTAGTACGTTATATTTTATTCAGTATCTTATTTCTTTAAATACTTAACTACTAGTATAAAATGTATTTTATTTAAATAGGCATTTTGAGATATACCTTTAAATGGAAGTGTTATGGATAAACAAACAGACAAGTAAGTAGAGGTCCTGTCTTGTTGGCCCAAAAAGTCGATGTTAAAATTTTGTTGGACATGAGTAGAAAAATGATTGACCCCTGTTAGAATCGCTGCTATTATAATGAATAATTATTCTGAAAAATTGGTGCTACAAAATGCTGACAGCAAGAAATAGGTAGAAGAGAAAAAGAAATTACGCATTTTGCAAGGAGTGCATCAATATAAGTGCTTTGTTTTGTCTACTTTTATAGATGTCTTAGTGTCAAAGAACAGCAGTCCATTACTAATCAGTAAAGGTTAAAAAGAAGCTCATATTTTAGATTATTCTACTGCAAGATTTTGCGAAGCTGTCCCCAGTGTTCAGAGGATCTGACTTAGAGTACTGTTGGACATAGGTCATTGGACTTCTGGGTTGTGAGAGTGCCTGGGAAGCTGCTTATTATTCCTGGTTAATGTCTCTTTTGTCTCAGATATATCTGCTTTAGGAATCTATGAGGTATCAAACCAACTTAGGGATATTTCATTGTTTGAAATGTAATGTAATATTTTCATGGTTGATCACAAAACGTTCTCTCACTGATTGTCAATTTATATGCTTCCAACTGACTTGGCTTATAATTGTTTCAGCTTTGTAAAGTAGCCCCTACAATGCACGAAGTATGTGTGTATAATATTTACATTACTGACTTGGACTTTATTGTGTTTATAAATCTTTTAAAGTTTTCACCTTTTTCTCCTAAGCTACCACTAACTTATTTTTAGAGATGGAGTCCTCTCTCTGTAGGATGAATTCTAAAAAGTTTTTCTAATTTGGGGTGCAGCACAGCCAAGTTAGGAAGCTGTCTTAGTAATCAGACATTTCTAAGATGGTCAGCGTGAGATTTCCATTACATGAGACAGACTCATTTTTCAGGAAAATTCATGTTTTCACATGGTCTTAACAGGTAACAGGATAAACAAATGTGAAGTGGTGTTTCTGTTGAATTTTATTGTCCAGTCATTAATTGTAGCAGTAAAGTTTATATCTTTCCCAAAACCAAAGAAAAACCCTTGAACTGTGAAGTGCTGCTACCAGTTCTTAGGAGCTTCCTAGAAATGTTTTAGCAGCTCCAGTTGCTTTAAATATTTGAATAGAGGCCCATTATCTGGAAACTTTATTTTTTGAGAGTTTAGGAAAGGTGGTGATATGAGGTTTCATTTTGTTTGTCAATTGCTTGGGGAGAGGGCTCAATTTTTAAGTTGTGAGGTTTTTTTTTCCATATTCATGTGTTTGGGAAATAGATAATGATAGAGATGTTATTGTAGTTTTGGGATTCCCTTTATGAATTTTGAGCTCAACATTTTGTGCAGTACCTGGGCAAATACTATGCTAATAATAAATTTGGGTAATTTTATTAGTTCTCTGGAGTCATACATTCTAATTCCCTCCTAAACAGGATCACTTAAGACTCTCTGTTTCTGGTAGTTGGAATAAAAAATACACTACCTCCTACTTTAATTAGCAAAAGACTTTTCTTATATTTTGGATACATGTTCCTCATTTATTTGTTTTTAGTGGTGCTGTCTAGATTGTTAGTAACTTTTATCAAGTGATATAATATGTCGATATTCTAGAAGTCAGGTGCATTTCTAGATACTATTTTTATAGGGTTGTTTCTGCCACCGCTTAGTGTGTTTGAGAAATCTGTGAAATGGCTCTCTAGGTCAACACTGGGTGTATTCTTGATGTCAAGAACGTGACAGATGTTTTAGTGTGGAATAGGTGTTAGCGTCTTTTTCTTCCAGTGTGCGTGTGAGATACAAATTATCTTTAAGAGTCACTCATGAGTGATTTTGCGTTTAGTTTTGTGCACGTAACTTTTGTGAAAACATCTTGACTCCACAGACATAGGTCTTGCGGTAGTGCTCAAGACTTCCTGCGTAGCATTTAGACCTTTGTATAAAGGATTTTGTACTCTGATACTATTTTTAGGAAATCTTGAAAACTGCAGGTGAGAGAACAAACGAGTGGCAAAATCACAGGTAGAAGAGAGAGAATTTATTTTATTATTTTTTTTAAGTGTTTAATCAGTGTTGGATGAAAAAATTACCCTCTGTCATGTCTGTATGCTTTCCGAGTAGCTGGTCAGTTGGGAACTAGAACTTTTTTTAAAAAAGTATACATTTGATTCAAGCTTTTGGGGAATAACAGGTATCCTGTGTATAATCTGTGTTTTGGGACAGATGTTGTTTTAATTTTTAAAAAGCTACCTGCTGTGTAACTTCACACAGAAGTGAAATGCAAACATGTTTAATATAATCCTTTTTCCTTCAGTATGATCATAAAACTGCAGTTTGGTATTGACTTCATTAAACTTGTGCTGATTCTTTTAAGTAGTCATGTCTATGCAGGATTACTTTGCCAGTATATTGGTATGTAAGATTCTTCTAGTGTAGAAGCATTTAATAGTGACAGAACTTTGTTATTATCAATAGATTCTGTGTTCCTCCAAGCAAAACCAGCTTCCAAAGCATAACTATCTGTTAGGAGCTTTTGCTGATACGTCTGTATTGGTTAAGGATAGATGGCTTTATGCCCTTTCAGCATAGCCAAGCCGCCAAAGGATGAGTGAAGACATGTCTAAAGAGGAGATTCCAGTATTAAATAACACTATACAGCAGATTTGGTTCCTTTTTAAAATTAATTTCTATGCTTGATGCGATTTTGCTGTTGGTGATTTTATCCTGCCTTGTTCTTTCAGGAAGAGTACTTGCTCATTTATGAAGTGATTATACACAAGTCCATTCCGTTGTGGATGAGCATGCACTTCATGCCCAGAGCACTTGAGCTGTAATCTTTTTCTAGGAGTACTAAGATACGGAAAACATTGAATAACTTTGTGCTTCCACCATTTGGCATAAAAGGACTTAGAATTCTTTTTCTCATTTTTTTTCTGTCATGAGGATTTGCTTTTTTCTCTACCATTAACCTTGTTCATATTCATGAATAAAATCAAAACTGTTAAGACTTGTGAACTGGTAAGTTCAACGTGCTGCTGCTCCAGGACTTCTTCAGCACAATGTAGGAATTAGTAGCATTTAAACAATGAGCTGCTTGTGATTATCACTCTAGCTTCTGACATTGTCTCAGGGAAGAGTGTCTATGAGAGAAATACTCCACTTAAGCCTTTTCTTCGTAGAAAGCAAGCTGATAAAATACACTTTAAGGAGCCAGCATAATTCTGAATACTTCTGAGATCACCAATTCTTCTTCCATTCTGAATGTGAAACTAGTGTGCTACCTGCAGTATGCTTTGAACCTTTATCAACTTGATACGTACTTCTTTGCTGTAATAATATGCACAAACTTCTGGCGACAGGGAAATCAGTCTTTTAAAATATTTCTGCGTAGAGTATCCTCGTTCCAGTATAGCCTGTTTGTTCCTGGTATTGATTTCTCCTCTATAGAACTGAGCAAGTTGGTAAGGAGGCCCATGCCTCTTCTGTCCCTGGCAGAAAGCACAAAGGTGCAGACATATATTCCCTATTGGTATGACTTGGAAATAATTCAGCTTGGACAAGGCTTCTTGGTGATAAGAATATATTGGATTATGATAAATGCTTGTCTACACTAGCGAAACATTTTGTTTATGTTTTATATCTGTTCTTTCAGATTCGGTTCTGTTACAGTGCTGGCAATTCTCTGACATTCAGTTTGTCCATGAGCCTCGTGGTTTTCTTTTTGGCAGAGACCGAAATTTTCTGCTAACATGGATTTTAAGATCCTATTCCATAGATACTCTGGAGAGAGATACATTCTAATGTAACGTCTAATGTCTCAGGTTCTTAATAGACCAAGTTCTCACTGAAAGTAGCTGTTCACTAAACACTGCAAGAACAGGACAACACTTCTGGCCTCTCTTCCTTTATATGTGTTTTGGTACATTTCTAAATTTACAGCAAGTATCAGTAGGAACTTGTAGATAAAGGTATCATGAGCATGTTATTCTGGTTCAAAACTAAAATTGCTCCTTATTTTATATAGAGATTTATTGATGAGAAAACATTCTGTCATTAAGTCTTGAAACCATGTAGTTTCTTTTTTTTTATGCTAGTTTGAACATTGCTTTCATAAGTAGTAGTCTGTAATATTATTCATCCCTCTACTCATTAGCTAGTATACCATCTAAAATCTGATGAATAAATAGAAAGCAAAGGTCCTTCTGGGGTTATTTAGGTACGTAGTCTTGGTGAATAACATAATATTTCTGTATGAAGAAGAATGACTGTATTGTTTTCTGTTATTTAATATACGCAGTGGTGAATTTTTAAAATAAACCTTAACACAAGTTGAATACTGAGAGAATGAGGATACAATGTAATAAAAGTGAAATTTCAAATATGAAAAGCAAGAAGAAAAATTGTGAAATTAGAGGGTTTTTTCTTTCTCTTAAAGACTGTAAGCATAGAAACATACCAGACAATTTATTTAAATTTTTATTTTTGTAGGAGGAATAAACATGGGGTCACTCGTGAGAAGATTGCTCAGATGTTGGAACGATATGAATATCAAATATCCATACCTATTGTCATGAATTCAGTGGTACCTCCCCACAAAAACACTCAAAGGCCACCTCTGCAGCGAAGACATAGGTGGGGAGGCAATACAGACTCATGGAATTCTTTCAGTATTTCCAGTAGCCGATAACACAGTTGCAGTCAGTTAATAAAAATCTGTTACTTGCCCTTCTAAAACACATCATCACCTCCAATAAAATAGTGGATCTTCTGTATTTTAAATAGGCCTATTTCAAGACCATTTTGTTCTGGAGGTTGTTCCTTTAACGGACTTGCATGTAAATAAAATTGTACATTAAATGTTTTTTTAAACTATATTTATTACAGTTGTAATAACTTTGATTTTAGTAAAATATTTAATATAGTATGACATATAGCAGAGTCTTCCTTCATAAACCTAAGACAATGAAGTTGTCATATATCAAGTAACTGTTGAGCAGGGTTTTTTTAAAGAAGAGGTCATATTAGATATCTTTTAAAAGAGAAAGCCCCAGAAGAAGAGGTTATTTATGTAATAACTAATTTTAATGATTGTCATTTAGTCATCTTATCTTTTAGGAAATTTTTTTGAAAACAGTTATGTCCTGGATTGTCCTTTTGTTCTATTTGGCATGTATTGCCAATTGGCAAAATTTTGGCATGTATTTTCTGGTTTCATTTGTGGTGTTCGGGTTTTTTTTGTCTCAGAAGCTCAGCTGGCAGCTGAAGCAACATTCTGCCAATACAATATTCACCAGCCTTAAATTGTGCAACCTGAATTATTTTTTCACTTATTTGTTCTCAGTGGTAGTACATAAACTATGATGGTGGCTGCACACCACCAACTTTTTTGTGCTGACTAAAAAACCCTAAATTTTATCACTAAAACCCAAAAATTTCATAGCTATGTCTTTCTAAGTCAATTTCTTTCATTTACGATAAAAATGAAGTATTAAAGCATTAGGCTGTCAAGTCCCAGTCCACAGTTGGGATGCATCAATTCAACATAAATAGTGGATATAATTCTGTAAAACCATGTTGCATTCCTAATTTTGGCACAGCCAATGTTATCTGTTTAGCACATAACAAACAATGAGCCAGCATGGAGATTGACTAATTTACTGCCCTTTTTCTCTTAAAAAATGATGAATTTGTAAGTTTTCACTTGCTTGCTTTCTAACAGCTTGCTGAATTAATAAAATATATTTGTCTTCAGTGTTGTTTTAGTAGTTCAATGCAACAATTTTTATTATTATTTTACTTCAAGCTTGTAGGATTTTATGCAGGTGAGCATTATTACTAACCTGCTAGCTGAAGTAAGTTATCTTCAGGTCTAACTACATTTGATTTCCTTATACACTGAATGAGTAAATCCTGAATAGGAAATTTTGTCAAGAATGTGAGTACGTAGTTAAAAGAATTTTCATGGTTTTCTATTACTAATTTGGTGTAATAGCCATCAGAATTTTGAAAATTCCAAAGCCAGCGTAATTTTTTTTACTTACAGACAATTTTTGAATAGGCCCTAAAAATTACTTCGTCTTTAAAGTCGGAATATCATGAAAGTTGAAAATCCAGGTATATAATCAAGTATCTTTCTGTGGTTTTCTACACCTATTGTGCAAATCTAAATTTGTACAATTTAATGTATATCTGCAATAACATTTTCATAAGAGATTCTATTGACTGTAAAAGTTGAAGTGTGCAGTTTCACATTTTAGTAATTGTTTTAATTATTTGAAAAATAACTTAAAATGCTTCAGTAGCGCATGGATTGTTAATATATTGAATTATGTTTATATATAAAAAAAAGAAGCTCTCCAACTATATTAACTTTCTTCCCTCATTGTCTGTTATTCATACCAATTATGTTACTGTATTTTAGTGTTCATGGTTATCTTTTTCCATGTCTCAAAAGAATCATGGAAATCATTGTAAATGGTCAGTAATACTTTAATTATCCCAAAGTTTTTATATTCAAACATGAAAGCATATTTCAAGTGGCAGGAAGATAAAAAGGTTTTAGAAAGACTCATTTTATTTACTCTATATTACTTTAAGCTATAATAAATTGATAAAATTTATTGAGGCTTTATGTAATATTCACACAGTGTGCTAAGGTATGACAAAAAAGAGCTGATTATTGAAAATTGATGTTATGATATCTTTTGGTACCTTCTGTCTTCAGTTTTTAAAGGAAATGGATTTTTTTAGCAATATTTAATTGATATCTAAGTTCTCTTTAACTGAAATTTGTATTTAAATAGATGTGAATTCATACTATTATAAAATGATGCAGCATTTTTTGGTGTTATCTTTTTAATAAATTATTGGTGGATGGTGAGTATTTTTGATATGCAAAGCATGTTGATCAATAATAGGCTTGCAGTTTGCAAAGGACACATAACAAGAAAGGAATGCTTTGCAACTTGGCACTGTATCAAACATTTCTTGTAAACTGCTTAATCTAGAAAGCTGTATTCCAAGGTAAGTACAATGACATGGTAGGTGAATACACAATGGAATTACTGTCTGTGTAACACATTTTTGTTTCATGGCATAGTAATGTTTCATGAGGATATGACAGTCATGGTTATATGTATATCTCAGACAGAAGTTGCTCTTACACTACAATATTTATATGTAAAAATAATAAAAAGATGATGTGAAATACATGTTGCAGGTATTGAATTTCTCCTGCTCCCTCACAAATGAGGAAAATTACTTATTTTGTCAAAAAGTATGTACAAGAAATGTAAGAACTCGCTGTTAGTTAGACTGGGGATCTAAAAAATCTGGCATAGTTTTTATAGAATACACCTGTTGATGATGATAATGTACCTATAATGAAGGTTTCCTGTTGTTTTAGATTTTTAGTAAATTGCTAGTTCATCATATTTCATGAAATAATAGTGTCAGATTTTTTTTTAATGTAACTAATGCATAGAACTTTAATGTTATGAATGCAAATTCTAAGTATCTGCTGCATACTTCAAACTAGTGAGATGTTTGCTAAGTAAATTTAAACAGAGTAGTTAAGATACTCAACTATAGTTTTAACATCCTAGTCTTCTAAGGATGAAATTTAAATGAGAATTAATTTGCAGAACATACATAATTTGGTTCATATAGTTGACCAGTTAGCATCAGCTATATAGGATTATGTGTTGCTATAGAAAAAAATAGTTTTGGTTTTACTGCTTCATCTAAACTGCTGTTTCTTGTTTGATTAGTTTACTTCCTGAATTATCAACAGTTTTCATCAGCCTTGTCTTTGATGGATTATTTAGTGTTCTTATTTTTCTTTTGTTTGGAAAAGAAAAAAGAACAGAAACAAAATAAAAAAACCCAACAAAACAAAAAAAAACCCACTGCAAAACCCACAAAACCAAACCCTGGAAGACCTATGTGCTGGTTTTGGCTGGGGTAGAGGTAATTTTCTTCACAGTAGCTAGTATGGGGCCATGTTTTGGATTTGTGCTGGGAACAGTGTTGATAATACAGGGATGTTTTAGTTACTGCTGAGCAGTGCTTACACAGAGTCAAGGCCTTCTCTGCTCCTCACACCACCCCACCAGCGAGTAGGCTGGGGGTGCACAAGAAGTTGGGAGGGGACACAGCTGGGACAGCTGACCCCAACTGACCAAAGGGATATTCCGCACCATATGACGTCATGCTCAGCATATAAAGCTGGGGGAAGAAGAAGGAAAGGGGTGATGTTTGGAGTTACGGTGCTTTGTCTTCTGAAGTAACAGTTACGCATGATGGAGCCCTGCTTTCCTGGAGATGGCTGAACACCTGCCTGCCGATGGGAAGGAGTGAATGAATTCCTTGTTTTGCTCTGCTTGTGTGC